AGCGCAATAGATAGCTCAAGCAGAACCTTGAACATAAAAGGCCTCAAGAATAGAGTGACATAAGTTAAACTCATCTTGCTGTGCACTATAACTGGAAATGATAACCTTGATGTTTAATTTAAATCAAGTCATAGCAAAGACTTCTGACTATAATTGTTATCTGTCATATAAATAAAATTATTATAAAATGGAATTGGACTTGGAAAGGTACAGTTTTGCCTGTTGCATTGCTTGTAAGCAAATTGAACTCTGTGAAGGTTTATCACCCTTTGCTGCCTTCTTCCTCCAGTCTTTCTTGGTAATGGAACCATTTCACCGCAAAAATACGGAGAGAAAGAACTGAGAACAAATGATTAATTTTCCACATTACGCTATTTCCAGAGCTTTGCTGATTCCATTGCATTGCTGATTTTTCTCTCCTTTGTTCCCCTGCCAGCCCAGGGAAAAAGAGACCCAAATTTACTGGCAGCATTTCACGGTATAACTCCAGTTTAGGAACAGGCAAAATAAGGAAGTGCAAGTGCATGGATTTAAGCCAGAAAGAGGAACCACTGGATCTCATAGCAGCATCTGTGGTTTCCAAGCTTGGCCTCAGCTGGATTGTTGATAGTGGCAAAGGGGCTCTGCCAGGCACCAAACTTTCTCAGAGCAACTCAGTGCAAGAAAAAGATTAATGTCCTGGCCCCATTGCCTACCTGCCTTCCTGACTTTCCTTGCTTTCCACTTCTGCTAAGAAAAGAGGGTGCACTGGTCGCAGGACACACACAAGTGGGGTGGAGATGGTGTTCAGGCGTGGAAGACAAAGGCTGACTGCACCTCTTCACCTACAATACATCACCTTGGGGAGGCCAAATATGCACATGCTGCCTTAAAGATGGAGACAAATAAACTAACTTATTTGATGCAGGGCCTATAATGAGACACACAAAAGTGAATCTGCCTCCCGCTTTCAGCCAGTGCTGCTGCTTGTCTCCCACCCTGGGCCAGCACATACTAGAGGCAGCTGGCAGATCCAGACTCCATTAACTAGCTGCGGCTCTGCAAGCATGCAAAGAGAAAGCACAAGAGAGAAAACGGCAGGACGCAGCAGCAGGGGAACATGCCTGTCGGCAGCAGCCCAGCATCCCAGGCCACATCACCGGGAGGCCATCACGTGCACGTGCCCACTCCTCACACAGCTCAGCAGGGTGCAGCTCACTTGCAGCTGCTGCTCCTTTCAGCTCAAGGTGGTTCATGACGCCACACTTGGTAGAGGGAGCTTGAAATAGCTAATTTCAGTTTACAACATGTGGGTTATTACACACACCCCTCAGCACAGAGTCTCATCTCTCCCGGATACCTTTACAGCAGCAAACAGAAAGAAGCCCATCAGGGTTGCTTCAGAGGAGAAATGCAGTTTTGGTGCACTGACTCACCATCTCAAGGAGCCTCTCTCTCTCCTTTGACTACAGGAGAAATTAAGGAGACAAGGCATCCAACTCAGCTGGACAAACAGACCTTCTGTTCCCTTGTCATGGATGAGTGGTTAAGCTGCTTAAAAAAAAATCACCTTCAAAGATATTTGCAAATAGTGATTTTAATAGAAATCTATAAAGGTGTGATTTTACAGAGTTCGATGGCAAGGTTCACTCTATTGCTTATTAAATGAATGGAATGTGTATATATATATATCAAGAGAAAGAAAGAGGAAATCGAGCCCGAAGAAAATACACGGAGGAAAAGGGGAGCCCTCCCGTTGAGTCACGAGGTTCAGAAAGGACCCCCTTGCTTTCCAAGCTCCTTCTCAGAGAGGAGCCTAGGTGAAGCTGGATCCAATCCTAGTCTCAGACTTGGTCAACAGTTTATGTCTAAGGATTATATGTTTAGCAGTAGTTTAAGGTTTGTTTGCAGCAAGGGAAGAATCACAAAAATTTAGCAATAACTAATCATTAATTAATCTAGCATCTACAAAGTGATTAAATGAGGTTTCCTACAATATTTATATCACACACACACAATAGGCCTAAGTACTCATTACATGCACAGTTAAAGGTACCAATAAACATTCCCCCAGGTTTAGCAAAATACTCACTTTAAATGACTGTCTCAACGGGTGAGAGTCAAACCTCAAGGAGCAAGGATCACCGAAGATCAGGCAAGGGTCGAACCTCGAGGAGCAAGGAGCGCCAGAGATCAGCTTGAGTTCGCTGCTCTGAGAGGCGTCACACACCACTGTTTATAGGGTCATGAGATGATTGACTTTAAGCATCAGTAAATTTCCCTTCTACTTTCACAGCCCGTGTAGAAGATTACTAAAGTTACAGATCCTCCTGAGTTACAGCCTAGATAAGATAGGCCCCAAGGCTGTCAGGAGGCAACTAGTACAGACAAAAAATATAATGCCAAGGTTGTCAGAACTGCCTCCCTTGTACAGACAGTGCTGTTCCCACCTCAGCCGTGTAAGAGTTTTGATACAGCCAAGGGATGCTTAACTGCCAAACTCATTAGACAAAGGCCAAGTTTTGATGGGAGTTACTGAGATTGTAAAGCAGCTTTGCTTCCCATGCTCTGCCAGGTGCACCAGAAGAAAAGGAGGCATGGTGAATGCACCACCACATCCCTATATGCTAGTTTAGGATGGTATTTATTGTACAGGTGTGCTTTCTTCAGAATTACTGGTGTCACTTCAGTGGAGTCCTACAAGATCCTGCTGACTTCCACCCGAGGGCAGAGGCCAGCACAGAGCAGCTTGGAACAGTTGGCACAGTTTGGAATTATGAAAACTTTGTTATTTCCCCACTGTCGATGTTTTTTTCCTGGCAACTCATCTTCAGAAAAAAAAAAAAGTACATAAACCCCTGTGAGCTGCACACGTCTATGCTTTTTAAGATTGTATTTCTTTTATCAACACTTTTTTTGAGTTGGGCAAACTCAGCTTTTATTTGCAACATTCTTAATGTTTTCAATCTGAAAAATTACCTTAGAAATAGTGTTTGAACATGAAGGTTGCAAGTTTGACGCAGAGATCTTTCCAAATAACAGCATTCTTATTGTATAGACCTACTCTGTGGGATTTGCTAACTGCATACTTTTAACAGTGTAAAACACAGCTCCTAGCCAGACGAGAGACACATGGATTGATGGAGGTTTGATAACCATAAATAACATCTTGTTGGGGCCATGAGCCAGTAGCTAGCATGAGTCTCAAAACAAACAGGGATGGTATTACAGCATGAGACTTTGCCTGGGAGTCTCCCAGTTCCTTCCACGCCAATTCGTATCAGGATGAGTTTGGCAAAGCCATTTAACCTCTTCTTCTTTCAGAGTGGATGATTACTTTCCAAAATCGCATGGATGCTCTGACAGCTAATTAATTATCACTGTATTGTGCTTTACAAACGTAATTAGTATAAAGAGGGTTAGTAGTGAGAAACACTGCACAGAAAATGAACAGAGACAGAATGCTAGAAAGACTCTAAGTGTAGTAAGACAGAAAGAGAAAAATACTAAATAAGGAAAGGAGTTTTGAAAAGCAAGTACATAAGAGACATGTATGAAAAAAAAAAAAAGAGGTGTGCTGCCTTCCAAAAGTAGAGGAGGGGAAAAGGAAATTAAAAATTAGAAGCAAGGCACTGAGATGAATGGATTTGAAGTATAAAGAGAAGAAAATGAGAAAGATGTAATAAAAGCCACCCCATCTTTAAAGTAATGAATCTTTTCATTTATTTATACCCTTTTTTGATATTAGAGGAAAATGGTAGCACACTTATACTGAGCTCACGCTATGTTAACACAGTACAGCCCTTAATTCCTGGATTATGTTGTTAAATAATTAACTGATGAATCATAAGTAAATAATTGAAACTTGGTTCTCTAAGCCTCACAACTGAGAACATAAAACTGTCATAGTGATATCAGATTTTAGCAGAACCGATATTGTAGTTAATTAGAAAAACTGGAAAAAAATTCTAAAATCTGTAGCTGTAAAGACTGCTAGCAGAAGCACCTGGGCTCCATTTCCCCATGGAACAAACTAAAATGGATCATTTATTATTTAAATCTCCTATATTAAAGATACATCTGGAGAAGATAGAAGCATGGATTGCTAGTTCCTCTGCAAAATACCTAGACCTGCCCCAGGCCTTGTCCTGTTGGAGAGGGTCTGTGATTTGGGCAGCAGGACAGAAGAAGAGTCAACCTAAAAGGCTAAGGCAGTCAATTTCATGTTAAAATATGTTTTCCTCCAATATTCCTAAAATGAAGAACTATAAAACAAATCCTTACACTTCAATGGACAATAACTCATTGGTTCCGTGGCACTATTTAACAAAATTAAGAACAAACAGCTTCAAAAATCTAATAATAATTGTGTTTATTCTTGTAGAAGAGGAACAGTAGACAAACTAAAAAAGATCTCTCTTTGCATCCGCAAAACAAAATAATTCTTTTTCTCCCATGAACATCTGTTTTATTTTCCAATATAGCAAAAACACATATACTTCAAGTCTAATCAAGACAATTAATCTGGATTCTGCCATCATCACAGTCATGAGATTTTTTTTTTCTTTTTCTTTTTTTTTTCAGTGAGAGGACTCTGGAAGCACAGATCCTGCTGTGCAGAGCCATCACATTCCATCATGAGAACAACCTGGTAGGAATCAAAAACCTAAGGAGCAGCAAATAATTATTCCAATAAAGAAATTACAAAATGCTACAATGGTTATTGAACAACACTCATTTCATTTGTTCATTCTTGCAATCTGCTATTTAAAAAATAAATAGAAGACTTTTTATTTTTTAGAAGCCCCCACTCTTCCAGCATCCTGATGCTTAGTCTTGCAAAACACTTGCCAGCAGCAAAAATTTTAGGTGTCTTTGAGTATCAGCGCAGGCATGAAAATGTACCGCAAGCCCTCAGCATCCCCTAACAGCCTCCACGTCTGAGGTTAGGCTGATTTCACAGCCCCTGTTGGCCGGCGTCTGTCCCTCAGCCCCCGCTTGGGGGTTCATTTCACCACCGCCTAGCTGTAGGAAGAGGAGTCGGTCTTGAAGTAGCACTCTAGCTCCTCGCAGAGGGCCTCGAAGGTGGGCCGCCCGCCCGCCTCCGCGTTCCAGCACTGCAGCATCAGCTGGTAGAGCGGCGCCGGGCAGTTCTGTGGCTGAGGAAGTCTGTACCCCTTGTCCAGCATCTGGATCACCTGGTGGCCTGGCATACCTGCAAGCGAAGAGGAGCTCGTCAGACTACTTGGGGTCTACTCAGTGACACCGCAGGTCCCTATCTCTTACTGAGACGAGGCAAGGGGATGCCCCCCTGTGAGGTACACTGTGAGGGCAGAGCTGGCCTCAGCAGGCCCCCCTTCAATGGCAACAGGCCACAGGAGTCACTGCAGGACCCCAAACCAGCAGTTAAAAACCACCTCCAGCTTTTCCCAGGCCCCTCACCTGAGAGGCATAGCGAATGGGTTCATCTGGGTGTGAGGCTTTACCACGGCCACCCAGGTTTGCCAAAATTTTTCTGACATCTATTTCACTTAAATTGTTCCTAAATCCCTCCAGTCTCAGTGACTCCAAAATCTCCCAAGAAAATCTGTCCTGCTGCTCAATTTTCCTCACATTTAGGAAGCTTTTCCTAATGTCAGCCCTAAGTTTCCTCTGGCGCAGCTATGTGATGGCAGCCGGCCTGCTCTGTCACTGTGAGTCATGAAGAAGAAACCACTCCCCTACCTTTGCTATACCTTTACATATTAAGACTATTGTCCCATTCCATTTCAATTTTCTACTCTTTAAATTAAATCTTGAATTGTGTAATCTTTACTTCTTTTCCCTAGATCTCTGAATGGTGTTTCCTCTGTACATTGCCCACTGCCACCATGGATCAATACCTCTTCTCCTAACTGACTACTGAGGACAAACTCTTGAAAGTAATACCAAGTAAGCAAATGGCCATGGCAAAAAGACATTTTCTACTGTAAAGTTACAGGTAAACTATGCCTTTGCAAAGGGATAATGCTGAACATATTTCCAGAAAATACCAAGAATCACGGTGTTACACATCATTTATACTTCAACAGTTTATTTATGTGTGTGTGCGCATATGCAGACACCTGTAGTTTATATGAGAAAGAGTTGAGGATTTCTGTCTTTGGTTTTCTTTTTTTTTTTTTTTTAGAATGGTTTCACAGGAGGTGAGGGTGGGAATCAAAAAGCAAAATTGATTTTTCCTTTTACAGGAAATACCAGTTTGGGACCCTGTGAAATGTAGTTTATGGTGAATGTGCCACCCCTCAGGCCTGTACAGATGCAGCATAACTTTTTTTTTGCTTTAGTCCTTCCCTTGTGTTCTCCTCACCAGCACAAAATGAGTCACAGTCAATCATCTCACTGATATCTTGTGTTATTGGAGCCACAGTTCCTTGAGCATTTCTCATAGTGCTAGGAGTAATAGCTGCTCTCATACCATTAAATCTACTTTTGAGGTTGGTGACGTTCTATTCCTAATTCTTGTGATCCTTCTCTTTATGAAGACTTTCCACTGTAATAGTCAAATATGAGGAAAGGGACTAAAACCACCGATTCGTTTTTCAGACACCTTCTTCTTGAAGTGCCTGTGCAGCACTTCACACATAATAATCTGTTCTTCCATGAGATATCCTCAAAAAAAAAAAAATAAAAAAAAAAGCAAGGGCGGGATGGGGGACAGAAAAACCTTCCCTTTTTCCACATTCCAAGAATTGGCATCTTTGATCTGATGCTGGAGGGAAATAGCCAGTTGGCTTAGGTGCCTGTGCAATGCAGGTTGACTTCAGCGACAGGAAGCTTGAATGGCTGCTAAACACAGCCTTTGGAAAGCTTCCAGGGAACCTGGGGCAGCCAGAAAGTCTGACCCACTAAATGGACCTCATCTGAACAGCCTTCTTTCTGTATTTACAGTTTTAACCTTTTAACATGCCCGTAGTACAGGCATTCAACTTTTTTTGTGTGTCATTCTTAAAGCAAGAAAACATTAGACATCATTCTTTAGGTAAAAGCACTTACCAGCGTAAGGCATCTTCCCGTAGGTCATTATTTCAAACAGAAGTATTCCAAATGACCAGACATCTGACTTAACGCTGAATTTGTTGTAGCGGATTGCCTCCGGGGCTGTCCATTTCACTGGGAGTTTTGTTTCAGGCCTAGCTTCATATATGTTTTCATTTTCTACCTGTCATGGGTAAAATGAAGCAAGCCTGATTTCAGATCTGCTTCAGCAAAGCACTTAAGCACTTGACTAAGCTAAGCATGTGCTCAATCTTGTCTTCTTTTAGCCAAGCACTTGCCTTTCATGGTGTTAAAGCGTGCACTTTCTGAAGTCTATTGTTGAATTGGGCTTCACAGTTGAGAAATGCTACCGTTCATCGGAGGCTTTTCTAAAGCATTTATCATTTCAAGCAAGCACGCAGCGTTGGAGTGGCTCATGATTAATTATGACCTGCTACTGTGAATTCTGGACCTGGCATGCAAGATTTCAAAAGTCTGTCAGGAGTGGCAGTGTAAGCATCCTGCTGACACTAGAGACTAAATGGCTCTACATCTGGTCTTCAGTAAACAGAGAAGGCAAGAGCAAGAGCTAATGAATTTCGGAACCTTTCTTCTATGATTTATTGTGGTGTTGAAGGGCCATTGACTTTGATAACAATCACTTAATAGGTTTCGGGGACCAAAGAACAAACTCCAAGTGATTCAAATTAACATATGAGCTTACAGTGGGTCCAATTAATTCATGTAAAGTGAAGATGAAAGACACGTAGAAAAATTATTTACTTGCAAATTTGTAGAATCATGTCCTTGAAGGTCTGTAGCACGGACATCTAAACTTTGCGAACATTTATTCTCTCTTTAATTCCTAAACTTAATTTAGTGTACATCAGTCACATCCAAGCCTTAGTCAGGTTTTTCACATGCAAATCCAGGCAAATGTGTACAAAATTTTGTTTGTTTGATTGTTTTTAATACAGAACGTACGTTTCTCAGCTGTAATGCCCTATGGTTTTGAAAAGACTGGTTGTTAGTGTTTTGTATCTACATACTGATACAGTTGGCATCTTGCCCATAATACTCATCTCTAGAAACAAGAAATTATTTCATTATGCTAATTAACATATACAGGAATATAGATTTCATTTCTCACACCTACTCCTTTGGGATCTTTGCACGTGACCATGTTAGTGCTTTGGCTTAGGAGACAGAATATTCCTAAGAAAGTCTGCCAAGATGACTCTATGACAGAGTATTTTGGTAAAGTTCAGTTTTAACAAGAAATGTCAAGAGCTGTAAATTATTACCCTCTCTAGTGAGGACAGAGGAGAAATATCCGTTGTAAGCATTGTTCATTTAAAAATATATATTTTTCATGTTAAAAAATGTGCAATCTGAACTTATGCATAAGTAGAAGCATCAAAATTAAGCAAAAAGCACTTTCAAAGTCCCTTGATGCCACTGTCAAGTCATTATTCGATACTTCAGTCTGTAATAAATCCAACTCTGTTATGAACTTCAATTTCTGCTGCTTGAATAGAAAAAAAACAAACGAGAAGCAGAGGGCTTTTTTCGCTGTTTTTCCTTCTCAGTGCAAGAACATGAATCAATAAAAACAATAATAAGACCTCAGAAATTATGGATTATATATTGAAATCCATAAAATATGGCAAATCAAATCTTTCAAACTCTGATCAAATCATTTTCAGAGGTAGGAAATCTCATTTCTAAACCACAGCTCTTTCCTAGGGTGGTCTTGGTCAGCATTAGTTGGCATTCCATGTCCTTAAGGGCTAGAGGAAAAAAACCAGTGCAATGGCAAAGAACTTGAAACTGCATCAGATTTAAAGCTCTGACAGCTCTCTTTATGAACTCCGCTGTTAGTTGTGGAGAGGAATAAGGTCCTTTTATGATTACTACCTGCACTCGCAAGCATCATGGAGCCAGTGGGGAAGTGAACAAGGAGAGAACAGCTGTCAACACATTTTTATATGCCTTCCCTTACAGGCTCAGGAGTATAATTTTGCCATCATTCCTGTGATATGTCTCCATGTGACAGACACTAGTGTTGTGGATAAAGGTTGTGCAGCAGAGGGTATTGCTTGCCAGGCTCCTTCCTTGGTGGCTGAGTGGGAAGCAGACACCAGGATGCCATCTTCAGACTGACACAAAGGCACAGGACAGCTTCTAACCTTGCATGCGATAATGTAGGTAGAGGATACACATTAGGGGTCCTTTTCTTCCTTGTGCCTGAACCCAGCAATTCAGAGGCTACAGTTTGTCCTTTAGTTGACCTCTTCCGCCTTGTTCCCCAGAGTTAAAGTAGAGCCAACTCACCCTCTCACAACCCACCTTAAAAACTCTTGCAAGTCCAAAGTCTGCCACTTTGTAAACACTGTGTTCACCAACAAGAACATTCCTGGCTGCCAGATCCCGATGGATATAGTTCTGAGATTCAAGGTAAGCCATCCCGGAAGCCACCTGAGCAGCCATGTCTACTTGCTGTGTCAGGAAGATCTGGGAGCCTCCATCTTCTGTTTAAAAAGAAGACGACAAGGATAACATAATATATACAGTATTCAGATATAAATAACATAACAGCTGACTGGTTCAAATAGCCAACACAAATCAACAAAACCATGCAATACAATAAAGTAACAGCCTGACCAAATGACAGAGGTTAGTGAATGACACTACTTAAAGTCATGCAGCTAGTTTCACAATAACTGAGTAACAATGCCTGTCCCATCTTCTCTGAAAGAGTAGATACTAAATGCAGCAGTTGATCTAGGCCTGGAAGGAGCTTCTGACACCGTTCAAAGAAAAAGGCATTTATCTACGGATAGTAATGGAGATGTTTGCCTTTCTGACAAGTGCATAACCCGTTCCAAACTGTGAGCAAGAGTTAATGTCAGTACTCACTGGGTGTAGCCAAAGCTGACTAAAGATGGAAAAGCACAAAATTATGCTGGTTCCCTGTTCTCCAATGATTCTTACTAGGAAATATACCATCTGCTGTCAAGCATAACTCTCATTTTCACTTTCCAGTCCACTTGACTGCTTCATGCTGTTATCTCTGTTGCTGCTACTCAACAGTAGGACTCCTTGAGCTGCTTTCAAGCTGCCTGCTTCTCTTGTAGAACTTTCTGAAGCAATGTGCATGCCATTCCCACCACTGTAAGATTAGCAAGTCCCAGAAATAGAGGTTTGGCAATCAAAGATCGGCTGTTCAAACAAAGTGGTAGAACTTTGAGCAGAACAACTTCCCTCCACAAATGGAGGAAAGAAGGAAAGACTCTTAGGCCATGAAAAAATGCAGCCAAAAATAGTAAGACAGGTACTCAAAAAAAAAGTTATCGGGGTATAACACATTGGAATTCAAATTCAGGACCCTTGTGGCATTTTGGGGACAGCTGACCTCCTCATAGCAAAGAATTTATACCCCAAGGTAATCTAGGTAAGCCAAATCAGTGTTATAGTCAAGCATCACTGTCACCCAAACCCAAGCGCTGCAGCACTGAAGCGTGACTGCCTACCTCTGTAGCCTCTAATACTCAAAACAGTTTCAACTTTCTGTGTCAGAATATTAACAATATCAAAACGCTGAGTGTTTGCTGCTATGTTTATCAGTAGTTCTCCTTTCTCATGGAGGATGGTGACTTTTCCTTACTGTGTTAAAGAAAAAAAACATTTGTAGCTGGCAGTTTTCTGTTGCTTATTTTGAATTGATTCGTAGTGAAAGTGTGTCTTAGAATTGTTTTGCACAGCCTGCTCAGTTCTGGCATTTTATCTGACCTAACCTGGCAATCACTCCTTATGAAGAGTGTGAAATTCCATTGTTTACTAATCTATTCTGCAATCTCCAGACCTTGAATTTCCTGCTCATCTGGATGTTCTGAGATGAACAGGTAAAAGAAATGAATTTTAAATTATTAAATTTGCCCTGTGTGTGTATTGTCCTACTTCTTTTTTGAGGCTAAACTCATTGTCATTATAATCCAGCACTAAGATTATTTACTGCTATTTTTGACTCGGAAGGTCTTTTCCTCTTTTACACATATGTTTAATAGCTGCCTTGACCTTTAAAAGAGAGGGGAAGAAAAATCAGGCTATGTGAAAATCTATGGTTTAACCATCAAGAAAATCCATCATCAGGCCACAGGATAATATAACACTCTGAAGTTTCGCAGTTCTGATAACTGGAAGACATCAACATTTATTATTCAGCTTGCTGGACAAAGATATAAGTCTGCAAATGTTGTATTTAATCAGACAAAAACTTGTACAAGTACCTTGCATGAGTACCTGGGTTTTGGAAACTTGCTTATGTGACTCAGTTTGAAATCCCTCTCTCCATGTTCCTTTTCACACTGCTCCTTAATCTGCACAGGCTGTGAACTACCTCCTGGTGAAAGCAGTCAAGGATGCAGACAGACTCGAGCACAGGTTTGTCATTGCTCTGCCGATGCTCCAGGCTGGCCTGACACAAGCTTGCTCCAAGAGGCAGAACACAGCAATGTCACAGCAAAAAAGGATGACTCATAAGCCTCGTGTTTAATGAGCTGCTTCAGTGCAAAACAGGAGTTAGAGCTGCTAAACCCTCCCTGTCTCATTCCCTGCAGGACACAGAGGTGCACTGTGTTAAAGGAGAAGGACAAGATCCACCTCTAATGGTGGAGTTGCAGCTGAAAGACTATTTCTTCCATTGGGGCCTGTTTGGGATCCCAGACCAGGCTGACCTACTGCCTTTAGCATGTGGGCTGAGGCAAGGGGAGAGGCCACCATGGCCCTGGCTGCTGCAATATTTCTTGGAGGGTTTCTCTCTGTGAGCTAGTTCTGCACTGCTGCTGTTCTGGAGCTAAAGAAAGGAAAGCTGGAAGGAGGAGCCTCAGCTGATCAGGAGCTGCAAACTGTGCACAAAGATGAAGCACGAGCCTCTTTGGGATCTGAAGTGCAAATCGTGTATGGTTGTCTCATAAAGGTTTCTGACTTTACCTCCAAAATCTCAGGTTGGGCCAGTCAAAGCATGCAAGTTCAAGCACAGCACTGCGTTAGTACAACTACGGAGGTTTCCAGACCAGAGCCAGCTCCCATCTGGCTGGTTGACAGCAGGTCAGAAGAGTTTCCAGCTGTATTCATACGGGTATACATGTGCTCTAGTTTGTTTTAAAGTGTTTTAAAGAAGGAAAAACTACAACAAAAAAACTAAAGTTAATATAACTTCCACACTCAAACCCAGGCACTACTGGTGAATTTATAAAACCTTCCCATGGCTTATTCTTTATCCTATAAGGAAAATGCAGCACCTCCATGTCCTTTTTTACTAGTATTTTCCGACAAAACTAGTGCCCTTATATGAAAAATTTATTAGAGAAAATATTAAGGAAGGCTTAGGGTCTGCACCCTGTTCTAAGCAATCAATCACAATACCTCATATAGGAAAAACAGCGAAATATTCTCATTGACAGATGCATGACAATAAATAAATAAATAAGCAAGCAGCACTTTCCCCAGTTGAGAGCATTGCCTCCGTAATAACTCACCGAACCTCAAGACTGCATACCTGCCAGAACAAGCCCCAGGTCTATCAGAATTGATAAAAACACTCATACATTTATGACAATTTCATTCACATCCAATGACAAAGAAAAGTTTTCAGTTGCATTTTTCTCATACTGGTGGCAGCTCAATAACTCTGCATAGCAGTGTTCATCAAGAAGTATGCCAAAGTACATTCACAGGGTGCACAGGGAATTCACATGTCCATCATTATTAAGTAGCTGTCATTATGGTGGAATGTGATAGTCACTATGCATAAAATATTAGGGATTTTTCAAGCTGGAAAAACATACCATGCATTTCTAGGAGGGGAAATTTAACCAAAGAATGATCTCTGGACTTTCCCTCTGTTCCAGTTTGCCATATTTACCCACAGTGCACACAGAGACAGCAGACTTCTGGAAATGTTTTCCTGGTTCCTGCAGTGCCTGAGTCTCAGGAATGCTTATCAGGAGCTGTGCACTGACCGCCAGCCGATACAGATCACTTCCAGTCACAGAGCTCTACACAAGCTTCAAATCTCTTTCCTTATTACACTGACGGCAATGACTTTGCTATGACCAATACCTATCAAAGCACCTGGATCTCTGCTTCCACCTCTTAGTTCTGTTTATCCCCCTGTGTATAGGCCATCAGACAAGGAGAGATACCACTAGGCAGGGTTTCGACTGGCCATTTTCACGATTATCTTCACAGCTGCCTCGAAACCAACTGACTTTCCACAGTCTTTCTGATGCAGGGCTACAGGAATGAGTGCTTAGGCAAAGATCAGGCTGCATACATGTGCTGCCTACAGCAAGGGCAGCTGCTGTGCATATGCTAGCAACTGATCCACACACAGGCTGCAGCACTGATGTGTCCTGGACATGTTGTTCTCCATGCACAAACAGCCCAATTTTCACCTCTGCAATAGCTGTGACTCATCCTGGCTTTCTCAGAGCTATTTCTCCAGTGAAATGAATGTTTTCATGCACAGCAATCATTTCCTGATGTGCCAGGCTCTTTCAATCAGATAAGCAACAATCTGCACACAGGGGCACCAAAGATGATAATTTAAAGGAAATTTGTGCCTTGCTGCCTCTGGCCACTAAATGCCTACAAAACTTTAGATGATCTGGCCCAAGCTTCTTGCAGTCCCTCTCTGCGCCGTTCCTGGTGGGGCTGTCCCTCTACCAGAGATTTCTTTAGCTGTAATCGTCCCTGGACTGAGTCTCACTTGAAAAATGGCTCCACAGAGAAGATGGGGGAAGGCACGTGTCATGGTAAATACTGTCTGTGGTATTTCACAGGACTTTCTCTTAAGGGCTGGAGACAGAGAAGAAATTCAGCAAATCACAGTGAACATTTTGTCTTCAAGAGATCATTACAGCTTTAGAGACATCTGCTAAACTGAAAATGGGTAACAACACTAGAATCAAGCATTTCTCAATAGCAGGGTTGAACTTAAAGTGCAATCATTATGCTAGTCTGTTCCAGGCTGTACAACTTTATTTTTAATTATTATTTGCCTTCAAAAGAGCACTTTGAAGTGCTGCTGAGATAAAAGCCCTGATGCGATAGGCAAGGGACAAATCCACAGTGAAAGGCGATCCCTGCCTAGTAATAGATTTCAAAGCTGTTAAGTACATTTTGTGGAAGTGCCTCTATTTCATGTCAAATATGATGACCTATCCTTCTGTATGCTTATATTTTTATTCTGTCGGTGTATGTTCCCATCTACTCATAGAACTGGGTGGAAAAATGTGGGTCATTATAAGGCAAGAATCAAAGTGTGAATGTGATTCTCTCCTACTTCTGAAATACTTGGACACGTCAAAAATTCATAAACCTCTTTCTTTCCTCTTTTCTCATCCTCACACACGACAAATAATGTAGCTTTTATATTAAACCAGTGTTGTACTTCTATCTTTTATGTTAGTGTATGTACTAAACTGACAGCTGTGGCACCCCTTGAAATGAGTTTATAGTCATTTGCTTACTTTGCAGATATTCTAGAAGACTTCCATATCTCATCAGCTCAGTAATAATATAAACTGGGTCCTCCAAAGTACAGACAGCATAAAGCTGTATAAGCTTTGGATGTCTCAAGTTCTTCATTATTTGTGCTTCCCTCAGAAAGTCCTTTGGATCCATTGAACCTGAAACAACAGCATATAACAAAACATAAGCTGAGGTTATTAAAGGCCTTCCTGCCAGCCTGGCAGTCTTAAGGGAATAACTGAATTGTTTTCTGTCTTTCAAAATACATTAGCATCCCAAATCTTCACAGTTCCCACAGAAAACAGACAGTGCAGCTGAAATAAACAGTTAATGAGTGAAACATGCCAGTTGCGCAGGGACAGAGAACATATGTGTTCCAGCCACCAGAAATATACAGGCTGAAATTAACCTCCCCCAGGCAGAAAAAAGTGAGGTTAGAATGTTAACTGATATAATTTAAGCAAACAATTATGTTACAACTGGTTAACAAAATGGCCAGAAACTGAGGTAAGAGTGCCTAGGTAATGAACATAAAATTTCTGATAGAAAAGTAGTGCTGCAATAAGAATTCGTTGCACTATTTTTTCTGCTTCAGCAATCAAAGCCTGAAAGCCCTGAAATCACTTTAGCATACAAGGAGTGGATGTGTGCATTTTATATACATAAATACAAGTAACTCTTTATAATGTTCACTTAATGTACAAATATATATATACACAAATATTCTTATAGTGATCTGGAACAACCTTATTAGAAATACTAGTGTACGCACAGATGTAACAAATTTTACACTCCCTTAAATGCAGAAGGATCTTAACAGCTAATGATCCCAACTTGTTAAGTGTTACATAAGGTCATAACGTCTCTAGTTCTATTCGTATACACAGTGAGTCAACGCATAAACTATGCCAAAGAAACAATACAGAAATTGCACAGGCCACTAAAGTGAGTGGCAAATTTAGGATTAGAGCTCATACACCCTGAATAGGGGACTGATTAGAAAAAAAAAAAATGCACAAATAAGGAAGGAAAGCTTTCTCTATGGATGATCCAGTAGTGATCAGATATTCTCAGATGTTTGACAAAGATGGTAAAAAACATCTATTTCACAATACTTGTACAAATACATGTGAAATTATCCAATTCCTCAAATGTTTCCTTCCTCACAAATCAAAATAGTTTCATTAAGAAAAGTTTACAGTGAAGGTTTGGGGGAAAAAAAATCTACCCAAGTCTAGTCTGCTCCAAGCCGTGTTTAAAAACAGACTCTTTTCTTAGTGTAAGCAGACTGAGTCATTTGAGAAGCCAAGGCTGCAAGAGTAAGAGTCTTTATTTTATGTTTTTTAACACTAGGTAACCAACAAGGTTCATTTGAGAGTTTGGCTTTGTTCCAAACATGGATATTTAAATGAAGTGAAATGCTGGGAGGATGCTAAATGGATCAGACATAAAACTCGACTAGAACGTCTGTTCTACAGAACGAACTAGCAAATCAGCTTTCACCCAACACCTGCCTTGAATGCTGCCTCCTGAAAAATGCTCCAACCTGTCTCCCAAAACACAGCAATGATGTACGTCAGTGCAAGGGAATGACTCAGAAATTCTTCTGACATAGACTTTATAAAAAACCAGCCACTTGACGTTGCAACTTGTGAGAGCAAAGATCATTGCAAGGGACAGGTGCTCCTTTCCCCAGAGTCCTCATACTTTCCTTGGCAATCCCAGAGAGTCCAATTTGACAATTTTTTATAAGATGCCTTTAGGAGTGATGGTGAAAGGCAATGGATTTCCATACCATCAATAAATGGATAGCAGCCAATAATACATCTCCTCAACAGGTACAGTCTATACCCATTTCCTTTTGTCACTGTCAGAGGAAAGTGGGGCCCTGCATGAAAAGTAAATGACTCACACTTGGTCTGGATAAAACAGAAATTATGACAGTCAGGTGGAAAAAACCAAATATCTGTAATGCTAACGCTATATTCTTTTCCTGTTTAGAGCAGCACAATCTTTACAGCTTTATTTGAACTTTCCACCAATCCTAGATTTCAAAAAAAAAAAAAAAAAAAAAAAGCCTAGGGTTATCTTCAAAGAGTTTGGACTCACTTTGATACTGATTTAATACTGTGGTCCATTTGCTTACTTTTTTCAAGATACATGCATTTGTCATGGAAATCATCCTGAAGTCTACAGAGAAGCTGCATGGTATGAGGTATTCTGCCTCCAAAGGTAAATGCATAAGCATGACTAGTGATTTAGCATCGATGCCAAAGTTTGACATGTTGATCTTAAAAAGGATAAAGTATTTGCTGACTTGGGGTCTACCAAATCACCTGCCCTCTATGGATCATTATACAGGATTTCTTCACACCATGGAAAATGACAGTCTGATTTGTTGCCATCATCAAAGTTTGCCTACAAGGAATCTCTCAGTTTAATCATGCTATAAACTTCTTCCAACAAACTGAAACCAAGCAACATGTTTTTCACATATGACAACTTCCAATAAATTGATCCAGAGGGAAGTATTCTATTAGCTGAATAGCAGCAAATCCTTCTTTATGCTGTAAAAGTACTTAATAATAATAATTATAACAGACCAGTAACAAAGATCAATAAGTATTTCCGGCATATTTTAAAGAGCATATGTAACCTTCAGTTTTATTTAGTTTATATCTTTAAATAGCACAAGTAGCAGATAATGACCAAAACCCCCCAGAGCCCTATAGCTCTTATACTGTTGTTAATAAGTGGATTGGATGCTAACTAAAGAGATTAAAAAGTGTCTTCATGTTTTGTTTAAGATTAGATTTTAGCAACTAGATAAGCAAAGTAAAACTGCCTCTAAAAACAAGCTAACATGCTTTTTACAAATTAGTTAGATAAAGCCTGTCACAACAGCAGCAAAGAAGTTACAATACATTTCTTTGAGGAAGTTTATATAAATGAAATACATAAAATATATGCCACATGGAGTTTCAAATAACTGGGTTTTTTAGTTTGTAGTTGAATTACATGAGTTTTTAATGAAATATACATTTTCAGCTGTAAGTGGTAAACACAGTGAGAAGAGCAGATTACTGCAAGTAGAAACCACTTGATCAAAAACCAACTAGTTAACAGAAGCCTTTACTGAAACATCAAGTATCCCTTGTGTAAGACACCAGTTTGTGAGTAGCTTGATCAGCACCTGAAGAAAATACAGTTTTGATGATTTGTTTTTTGAATGAAAAATGTTTTTGTAAATGTCAAAGGCCTTCTTAAGAACAAAATGTTGGATAAGTTTCTTTGATGTGTCCTGTGATGTGCTGCTTTGCCAGAAATCACATCTAATTTAAGCCTACTTAAAGCAGGTGTATCAGTTCTGATTACTTTTTTTCTGAAAATATTTTGTTCTAGAATTGAGGAAGCTTCACATTATAAGATAAACACTGATAATTTGGAAATTAGTTAGAAAGAAAGGACAGTTATTTTTATGTAGTTTCTACTGGCCTAAACGTAAGTGGCCCTTAAATATTTGATAAGCCCCTCCAGAGACCCTTTGCACCTTTCAAAAAACCTTCTCAAATGACTTCAAAGTAACCTTGTACTTTAGAGCAATCTTATTTTCTGAATAAGTTTATACAAAATGAACTAATGTAAAGAGTACATTGAGCATATACTGTGATCTTCTGAAAAAGTTCATGCGTAATAAAGAAATAACATTAAAAAGTACAAGTCCTTGGTAACACAAGAGATTGAGTGTAAACTATTCACATTAACAGGAGAATGAGATAGGTATCTGATTATCCTTAAGCAGCTTTCTCATCATACAGAAGTGAACTTAAAAGTTAGTGTAAGGTTATGTACTGAACTAAATGGAATAAAAGAACGTCTTTGTTCGGGAAAATTGGGAGACTTTCCTAACTGCAAAGCTTTTTACACTGCATATGCACTAAAGAGATGACATATTGGAGAACTGAAAATATTATTAAAACCTTCACTGACAGCACCAACCCAGAGACTATTTTGAGAAAGCCTCCTAAAAAAAAATCATGCTTGGGCAGCTTCCATGCAAAGAGAGAAGCTCGGGAGATGCTTTACAATATGATAATGACAAATGCATCTGTCAACTTGAACAGGCATAAGGAACTTTCTCAGATACGATTAATTGGTGATGATAGATGTCTGCTTTGCGTGCTGACAGTTGGAGAAGCAAGCTAGCCCAGACAATAGGTTCTAGAGAATCCATCACACTCAGCATAGGACAAAGTGCAAATCCTTGCTGCAATGATTTCCATTTAAATAGAAAAAATAATGTCTCAGAGAGGAAATAAAAACAGAAATGTGAAATTACATGTTCAGGGACCTACGGCAAGACAGTGCTGTGCAGAGCCAAGAACAGAAATAGCAGCTGCTGGCTTCTAGACCATTTTCCTATCTGCTGATCCCTACACCTCTTTGATAACTGTGGGCCAACGACTCAAAAGTCAGAGATGTTCCTTAAGGCAAAGATGCTCCTGTGTTTTGTTTTCTCCTTCACACATCCATCACTATGTTTTGGCTGGTAAAATGTCACAGATGTCTCCAAAGTAGAGTCAAACACCAGTGCACAAATAAGAGAATTATCTGAATGAAGGCATCACATTACTGCTGCTTTTTGTTTATAGTCACGGTGATCAACAGATTGTTTCAACAAAATCTATAGTTTTGTGCCTTCTAGCCTAGGAGCCATACATTTTAATCACTGTGGCCTAGAAATACTAATGTGCATCCAACTTTTAAACCCAGCTGGAGTGTCTTCAATGCACTGCTGAAACATTAAGCAGCTCGCTGCCAGAAGCTTGAAGAAGCCTGCCATTGGTTCACGTAACACAGTTCTTTGGCACGGGATGGATGGTTCGTGTTTATGCACCTGTATATTCCCTGTGGCAAATTTGGTCTTCATAATGCACTGGACACAGTAACAAACCCACACTGCTCTATTTTTTCACCTGATGCCTGAAGTAATTGTGTACTCAGCCATGCCCCTATAAAGTTAGGAACTTACTTTTCCTTTGATATTAGGGTTACTGCACAAGATAAGGGGTTTTATACACATCTGAAAATGCATGCATGGGATTCTCCTCTGAAGAAGTATTATTTTTAATGTAAACACTAATTTGGGACAGCATAT